CTTTGAAGCGAAGTACTAGATTGGCAGTTAGGTCTCATCATTTTATTGTTGAAATGGCTAGATGTAATCTTAAGTTCTATGCTAACAGTTTCTTCTCTTGCAATTTTCATTTCTTTCTTCCGGTTTCTTTTTTACGAGTCATCTTTAATCTTCCAAAATTTAATCATTATCTTCTGTCTTCTTAATTTTTGTTGTTTTATTGTCCTCTCTCCTTAATAGTAGTTTTCGTTTCTCCTATTCTCGAACACTATCTAACCCAGTCCGTACTAGTAGCATTATTGACTTGCTTGGGGTGACATCATTTAAAAAAATACATTACAGTCTGCAGGAACAGCCATGTCAATAAGAAAAGAAAATTCTTTTTTTGTGATCTTTGATTACTATGTGTGAATTATTATTATCATTCTTCTTGTTCTTCTCCTAATTATTATTATTATTATTATTATTATTATTATTATTATTATTATCCGTTTGTAATATAACAATAAGCATTTTATTCAAATTCTTTTTTCTCAAAATGTCATGCCTGAAATCTGTGTTATACATTCTAAGCTTTATCAAACGGATAACAATGGAAGCCGATGGAGAGTGTAGGCTTCAGAATGTACACAAATGACACCGGTATTCAAATCAGCGTTATTATTGCGACTGCTATTCACAAATGAATAGAATCGTACACGCTTTTATCGATCTGACTTGACTCGTAATAATATTATTATATTCATTGTTATTTATACTCAAATATCTTTCATACAATAAATGAATGGATGCGTTCAAAAGAATTCAATGACAGCAATGCCCCTGTTGTTCCAGAAATCTCATCGGGATTCTTGCAAGTTTTACTCGCAATGAAAACTGCTGCGTTGCTTGTCGTCTCTGGCTTCTGGTGAGTTATCGGCAATTTCTCAGTAGAGAACCCACCGCTGCACCAACAGACTGACTGAACGATAAACAATGTTCTTCGCGTTTTGTTTCACTCGTTTTATTTTCGCGGGGGTGGAGACAATGAAGATATCTGCGATTGAGGAAGAGATACAGGGAACAACTGCCAATAGATCGGTCAGCTACCAGTCCTTTCAAAAGTTCATTAATTGTAATATTTTTTTTACAAAAATGTATTGATGTTTATTTTTACAATTTCATAGTCATTTGACCTCAATTTGGAGGTTATATACTTACCAATAGGTGGGACCGTAACAGGTGTTATCACCCCGAATCAGGGTGGACTGGGCAACATCAGCAATTAACAGGAGGTTCCACGCTTATCAAAACCTCTAGAGTATAGGCCTTGCTGTTGTTGCTCATTTGAGTGCAGGGCGTTATTAACCCTCTGCGGACGAGCAGTTTCGTATTATGAAGCCCCCACCGACGGGGTGAACGAATGATAGTCTTACAGACATGTAAGGGAAGTGACATTTTAATAATTATGAATCGGTTTGTAAATTTTCCATCTTTATTTTACATTATACTGAAACTCTTTCTTCCAAATTTATGTAGTTGGAATGTATTATATAATAATAATAATAATAATAATAATATATATATATATATATATATATATATATATATATATATATATATATATATATATAGAGTGCTGTTCGATAAAAGTGATTCACCTGATTTTTTTTACTAAATGTTCTCTTCTCCGATGAAACGAAAGTTGAGCTAAATTCAAAGGATAAGCGATCTAAAATCCGAAGAAGAAGCTTTGAAAGCTCTTTGAATTTAGTAAGTACGGCCAAGCGTCCGTTCAGTATAATGTTCTGGGGATTCTTTTCTTTTCATGGAATTGGTTTCTTAAAAGCTATTGAAAAGACAGCAGCGAGCAGTACAAGACAATTTTAGAGTCTTGTCTGCTCCCTTTTGCTGAAAGGGTGCGAATCGACCCCACCAAGCTGATTTTTATTCAAGATAATACTCCCTGTCAGAAATCAAAATTGATGACGGAATTCTTTGATGAAGAGAAGGTTAGTGTTATGACATGGCTGCCCCAATCTCCTGACCTCAACCCCATAGAAAACTTATGCAGCATTATAAAGTACAAGCTCTCGGGAAAGCATTTGAGCAACAAAAAGGATTTGATTTTGAATTTCAAATCCGAATGGAATTCAATGCTTGGAGAGGAGATTTGGTAGAACCTAATCAACTCAATGCCAAAATGAGTTGTAATGGTTATTTAAAATAAAGACGGACCCATAGATTATTAAATATTTCGAACTATATTACCTATTATAAATAAATTATACCTCTATTATTCTTTATTTAAAGCTGTTCGGTTATGTTTCTATTGATTACTAGTTGCAGGAAATAAGTGAGTCACTTTTTTTTTTGCACAGAGTTTTTCCCTAAATCTCAATTATATCCAAAATTATAATTATCAATAGAATACCTTAGGGTGAGTAAAATGTTTTATTACTTGGTCGGGAAGGGGTCTTTATATTAGACAGATTAAAAATTAGTTTGACCCCAAAAACAATAAGCGAAAAAAAATTTTAAATGGAAAAATCATGAGTGTCAATTTTATCGAACAGAAACTATATATATATATATATATATATATATATATATATATATATATATATATATATATATATATATATGAGAAGAAAAGAAGCTATAAATTAAACTATATCTATATAGATGTAAAAAGAACTGCAGTTTTAGTTATATATACCCAAATGGTAACATTCATAGTCGGGTGTGCAGATGTTTCTTCTACACAACAAAATCGGTTCTCTTCTTTTTGAAACGTAGACATAGATACAAAATTACATACAGTGTGAGATGGGTACATTGTCTCCAGTTAATATTCTTATTTTCGCGCTTGTTTCTTTTTTTGTTTGTTTTGTTTTTTTTATTTTATCGATGCAAGTAGTGTCAGTTGGGCACCGTCTCTGAGAAAACAAACACATTTCTTCCGCAAGAAATTTGCAAACCACATGATATACTGCTTGACATTCGTGACTGAAGCTCCAATAGTGCTTCAGTCTGAGGACAGTGCAGAGGATTCAAAATGAGTTTGTCCATATATACAGTCAATATCATGGTGTTTGGTGTTATGGCGACGGCATGCCTCCATTCATCTTCCCAGAGTGACCAAAGTTCAACACGGAGGCCTACATCAAGTTCCTAGAGGAAGTAGTGCTGCCATATGTCAAGAGGGTGGCTGCTAGTAGACGCCTTTTTCTCGGCACAGACATCAGGATGCCGCACAATCAGTAGAACAGTTGCAACCCACTGGGTATTATGTGCGAGCCGTAGTCGAGCGAGAAGACCAGGAAAACTTCTCGTAACCCGAGAGTTGAAATTGACGCAAGGATTATAGCAGTATTCACCAACTTATACATGGAGACTGTTCAGAAGTGGTCCAGACGATTTTGAAGTTGTCTGCAGACCGCGGTTGTAGCAAATGGCGATTTCCTGGAATAAATTTTCTCTTTAGTATTTCAAGATATTTTTTTGTAATTTTTATAAATACATTTGTTAAAATGAGATGCCAGAATTATTTTCATATTTGGATAAATTAGACGACAATAATAATAATAATAATAATAATAATAATAATTTTTTTTTTTTTTTTTTTTTTGTCAGTGGAAAGTGTCATGACGCCATTTCTAAACTTAGGTCCCTGGGTGGGACACGGAAAGAAATGTGTAAACGCCAGAAATGAAAGAAAATAATAATAATAATAATAATAATAATAATATTAATAATAATAATAATAATAATAATTTGGAATTATAAAAAATGGAACAAAACAACACATTGAAAGAATGAAACCCCAGCTTAAGAGACATACAGAAAATTGTCTTATTAAGTACAGCACACACACTAAGGAGAACTTTGTCTATGTAACGCTAGCAACTTCATCGGAGATAAAAAAAAAAAAAAAAAAAAAAAAATTAACATGAAATGTGGCCATAACAACAAACCTGCCTTAGGTCTTTCTGCAGACTTGGTTGTGTGTCCATAACAGAAATAAATGATGATGATGATGACAATAATAATAATAATAATAATTGCCACAATGAACCAATGCTTGCTAACTAGAAATTACAAACACAAACTGAAAAATTGTATTAGCCTAAATGCAGATTCTGTGAAAAATATGAAGAAACAATTTACAGACTTTTAGCAGGTTTTACTGTATTGGTACTTAGTGAATATAAAACACGGCATGATAGAATGGACAAGTATCATTATTGGTAAATATGCAACTTGGATACTTCAAGACATAGACATAGATTTATTTTATGAAATTTTACAATGCACAGAACAATAAAATTTAATCACACAGACACCAAGATCGTCGTGAGTAATGACCAGAATGTTTTCTTATTGACATGATAGTCCCTGCAAACTATGTCTTTCAAGATTTTCAAAAACCTATCAAAATACATGTACCCTGAAATGTAAATCTACAAATAAGTGTGATACCTGAGGATAACAATAATTCCATTAGTAGTTTGAGCCCTCGGTTTGGTTGGAAAATGGTCCTGCAGTCTTACTGAACGGATTCCTGGTAGCCCATAACTTAAAGAAATACATAAACGTGTACTTCCAATTACAGCTCACATATTAGGAAGTGCATTATTTCTGTAAAATGTGTGTGACCTTAGGTTTTTTTTTTTTTTTTTTTTTTTCTTACAAAAACATGATCAGTGGAAAATATTAAGAAGTCATTTTTGGCCTTAGATCTCAGGTTGGGTACCTGTAGGAAATGTGTATGCAGCAGAAATTAATAATAATAATAATAATAATAATAATAATAATAATAATAACAACACCAACAACAAGCACAACAACAAAAATAATAATAATAAATCTAATAATTAGATAGGTACATAGTAAGAGATAGATGAATAGGTAATACAAAAGTGCTTACAGAGATAATGTTAATAGTCACTCATGTTATTACTTGAAATTTAATTAAACACTACTTTATGCATGAAATGTCATATCAACTCAATTATCTCTCTTGACTGGCCACCGTCAAGCCCGGCCAAGTGTGACACCCTCTCTCTCTCTCTCTCTCTCTCTCTCTCTCTCTCTCTCTCTCTCTCTCTCTGATTAATACCTGATTGCTAAGCTGTTAATGTAGTAGAAGTTTTCATCTTTGTTCAATCCCATTTGACTTGCTCGGCAATATTCTAGGCGCCTTTTTGTCGAGGTATTCGCCGAAGCTGTAGAAGTAGATGCTTATATTTTAGTGATTCATTCGATTTTCACGGCATAGCTACCCATTTCAGGTTACTTAAAGACAGGAAAAAAATACAATTATAATTAACAAATTAAATGTTAAACAATGATCTTAAATACTAATTTATCCTTTTTAATTAAAAATTATAATGAATACAACCTTTGGTAGTTTTCTAAGCGTAGCCTATATGAGGAACAAGGCCGAAAGTATGGTGCACCCGTTGAGGGTTGAACTCAATACTATGTCGTAATTGATCTTGCGAGTAATTTTTGCTGATCATTACACCACATCGAGGTGCCCAAATAGTGATTTTCTAAGCTAAGGTTACATGCGGCACAAGACCGAAAATATGATTTACACAACGAGCCTCGAACTCTCTAACCAGTCACAAATCAATTTAGCCAAACAATATTGCTAACTATACAGAGCAGAGAACTCAAGGTTTTTTTTTTTTTTTTCTGTTAATGCACCCGAAGTAATGTAAAGTTACTTATCGCAAATATTAATTCGTCCCCAAGAAATTATAAATTTTAAATCAAAATTTAGTTAGTTAACCTTGCCGAAACTCCAACCGTCAGAATGGTAAAAACATGAAACTATTCACATTTCTTTGGGTGATATTGAAGTTACTTACAAGGAATTTTTTTTACAATTTTAAAATTAAAAGACAAACATCTGTTTTGGCTTGTTTATCGGGGTTAACGCAAATACACATAGACATAGCACTCCCAAGACGCCCACATTGGGGCCGACCACAAAGTCATCCCAAGCGAAGTGCAATAATGGGCGTCGCTCTGTGAGAATTTAGTGTAAATTTTAATATAAATACTTTTGATTTGGGGTTGAATATATATTTTGAGGTGGGTACAAGAAGAGATTCGAAATCAATCTCTTATGGTGACAGTGCTTCATGACATTAGAGATCGAAAATGAAGATTGCTAAGAAGGTGAAACGGCCATTGATTTCTTAACGTGCTTGATTTCTTTCTGGACTCAATAAATATATATCATCACATTCTTATTACCAGTAGGCATATGAATTATGAATGAATCATATTTTTAAAGTACTACATAAATAAACTGGTGCACTCGTAAGAAAATACAGGGAATTTTTCCGGGAATTAATTTTCGTAGCCGCGTTTCCTCAGTATCTGTCTATGTTTCTGAGATGAGGTATTATGTACACTATTTACATTATTCGGACTATTGTCTTTGCTGCCATATTTATCACAATGGTGTGGCCGTTGTACGCTCTGGCCTTCTTCAGTTGTTTGGAATGTCGAACTGAGCACCTTTATTTCTAGATCCACGTGACATATATAATGGATGTCAATTATCAGTTATCTCCTTTTAATTGACCTTTCCAAGTTCTCCACAGCCTTAACCAGCTATTGAACTCACAAGTCTTTTGGGCCTGTGACTGAATCTAACCAACGCCTTTATCCACCGTGCCATGTGTCCTTACGGACGTCGCTATATGAATGTCTGGGACTTATAAACTTAATGTGTTCAGCATTTTTTTTTTTTACCAGTGCTCATTTTGCAATTTTTTGCTGTTGTCATTGCATAATTTTTCACAGAGCTCATATTGCAATTTTCGTTGTTATTATTTCTTTTCTCTGGCACTCCTTATTACTGGTTCCCATATTGTATTCATTTCTATGCTTGATCGGCTCAGGAGAGTTTTGTGGCCTAGCATATGTGTGGATTCCTTACGTTTACGAATTTCCCAATGATGTTCTTTGTCTATGATTTCAACCTGATCACACAGAAGGCGGTGATCTCCCTTTTCTCCCCATATGTGGTCAGCCATGCCTGAGTTTTACACTTCCCCTCGTGTTACAGGTTTTTCGTATTCTTGATGTCTTACCTTAAGGGGGTTGCCTGTCTACCCTTTATATTTCTTTCCGAAGCTGCTCTATCTTCATTTTGTGCACTAGAATTTTCAATTGTCTCATTCAGATGTTAAGTAAAAGTTTCCATTTTATTTCCATTCTCTCTAAAATTTCGTCAGTGATCACATGCTCATTTCATTGTATTTTCAGGATCCGTATTTAGAATCGCATTTTGAACCAGCATTCCTCGCAGGAAATTCGGTAATTCATTTAATATAATCTTTCCTCTTAATGTTAGTAGAAATGGTGAGAAAATAAACCATTAGAATCGAATTAATAATATCTAGCTAATCGAAAAGTGAAATGTTAAGACCCAGTTTTCATTCTTGTAACACGCTTAAATTCAGGTAGACCAGGCAGTAAGGTGAACATGTCATTCTTACATTTGCCAAGAGAATATTTATAAGAAAGGCAGTGTGAAATCACGTCACTTCGGTGGGAATGCGACTGAAGTCGACATACCAGATTTGGCTAATCGTATTGAAAATGAAACCCATCGATTTTACCTCTTTCTGAATGAATGCGGTATGTATTCCTATATGGATGATTATAATTCATATCTCTTTATATTTTGCTATTATCGATATTTATCGGAGCTTGTCTTGTCAGTCCTGTTGGTTAATGCTGCTTAATAAATTTGATTATGCGCCTGATACATCGTCCATTTTGTTAAATAAAGCGACTATTAATAAATTACGATTATGGCAATCGTAAATGACCTGTCGACGTTGACTTCAACAGTATTTCAAATCTAGTGAATATGACTTCTGTGTATTAATCTTCTCAAATATCTTGAGCAGAGGATTTCTTCTTCCGTGTGTATGGAACTACCATAAAGACGTGAGAGGTTATAGATCTCCAGTATTCTCTGTCCTTTGAAGGCCCTTAATAAAGTTTCTTTTTTTTTCTTTGTGTATTATCCCTTCATGACGTGGACGATCATGGCATTTCACGATTTCCTGTCCGTTGTCGCTCTTAATAAAGGTACGTCTTCTTTTTCCCGTGTGCCTTGTCCCTTCAGGACGTAGGTGACCATGTCTTTCCACAACTTCCGAGTTGCATGTTTTAAAGCTTCTCCCTATTCTACATGAATTGTCATTTCAGGATGTGTGCAGTCATGTCTCTCCAGAACATCATGATGGTTTTTCATGAAGTTGTTTTCATTTTCCATGTCCCTTGTTCCTCCTGGACATGGGCGAACATGATTCATCACAAATTATTGTCATTTGTACTGTCAATGAAATTGGAATATTGTATTGAATCAATTTCTATGACTGCTTCAATGAATATGAGTTTACGTGGTCCCGTGCTAGACATGTTTCATGCCAGAATCTATTTTACATATTCATAAATCTAACATAAGTCATTACTTGGAATATTGCGCCAACATCTGGTTTGTTGTTCCTGCTATATATTTAGAAATGTTTGATGAAATCGAAATAAAGAATCTGCAATGATATTGGACATGAACTGACATCTCAGCTCAAGTTACCTTCCCACCGCCATAACTTAGCTTTCCTCAGACTTTTCTATAAATATGTTCATGATAATTGTTCTATTTACTTTCATCTATGATATCTAGAGTTCATAAATTTAATCCCAGTACTAGATTAGCGGCAAGGTCTAACCATTATGACATTTGATATGGCTAGATGTATCCGGATGTTATATGCTAACTGCACTTATAACATGTTTTACTCTCTTCGGGGTTCTTGCTTCCGAGGCAACTTTGAAAATTAATAATGCAAATTCAATGTGAATCTTTATCTTCGGTCTTTTGAGCTCTGTAATTGTATTATTTTCTCTCCTTAATAATTTTTATTTTTTATATATTCTCTAACAAAGAGTAAGCATCCTGCATTATTATTTCTTGGTGTGAAACAAGAAAATCCCTGTAAATTTTGTTTCGTCGCCTCTCTCATCCCATGCCATCAACAATTTACACAAGTTCCTTAGGAAGCTTATGCGCTGCTTTCTTATGCCCCCTTGCCTCTAGTAAGTCCTGTATGTGTTACATTCTCTAAGCCCTCTTTCCTCATTATGTTCCCTAAAAAGTTTCTCTTTCTGATATTAAGCATAAGTTTCTTTTTTACTGCCATTTTCTCTAAAAAAAAATCGTCATTGCTAGCATGCTCATTTCATTGTATTTTTAGCATACCTCTTTAGAATGACATCATGTTGACTCAAGATATTTCTTCAATTTTGATTCAAAACACTGACTGACATAGAGAAGGACCGTTATTACATAAATGTTAAATGCTTCTTGGTTTCTAAATTTTATAATTTGCTGAAATTGTAACTGCCTCAATTACCGGAAATAAGGCCTGACCAGAACAGCAAAGCAACTACCATAATGCTCCACCATAAAAAATACTGGAATATAAAGTTAGCGATATATAATTCTAAATAAATATACAGGCAACAAGATAAAGAACTACATATATGAAATAAAGTGACTTGGTTAAATCAGGGTTCCAAAATAATTAATTTCTTCTACTTCTTCTTCGTAAGGTATCTATACTGTTCATGAGCGCTCAGAGATTCACAGAGTTTTTTTTTAGTTTTTGCTGCTCGAAAAAATGGCGTTACGTCACTACACCTGTTCATCTCTGTGTTTCTACCAATTTACAAAATATGTCGCAAGTTGCTTTCTTCTGCAACCCTTAAATTGAAATTATATCATGAGTATCAAATGACCTAAGCACGCTTTAATCATATCAAATTCAATAAAAAAGCAGTTGTCGCTTTGTGAGTATAAGCGTAATGATTCTTTTCATTCGTATTCTTCTTAAAATTAGTAGAAAAAATCGGCAATCACTTAGTAACATTTAACGGAGTTGATTGCATGTCGACGTGTTGCAATGGTTAGCAAGCATGTATCTTTAGGTCAATTACAGCTGAATAATGAGTTCGATCGATACTGGGTGACAAATGCGTGTGACCTTTTTGCTACATCGATACCACGTTTACAAAAT